CTGTTAATAACAACCTATTCCTGAGGCATTCCATTTGTGACGAGGGTCCAATCAGCCTCTGCTATTAACAACCTAATTCTGAGGTATTTAACTTGTAACGAGGGTCCAGTCTGACTCTGTTAATAACAACTTAATCCAGAAGTATTTAACTAGAGACGAGAATCCAATCTTACTATGTTAATAACAACTAAATCCAGAAGTATTTCACTAGAGACGAGGATCCAATCTGACTCTGTTAATAACAACCTAATCGTGAGGTATTTCACTTGTGATGAGGATCCAATCTGACTCTGTTAATAACAACTTAATCCAGAAGTATTTAACTAGAGACGAGAATCCAATATTACTATGTTAATAACAACTAAATCCATAAGTATTTCACTAGAGACGAGGATCCAATCTGACTCTATTAATAACAACTTAATCCAGAAGTATTTAACTAGAGACGAGAATCCAATTTTACTGTGTTAATAACAACTAAATCCAGAAGTATTTCACTAGAGACGAGGATCCAATCTGACTCTGTTAATAACAACCTAATCGTGAGGTATTTCACTTGTGATGAGGATCGAATCTAACTCTGTTAATAACAACCTGATCCTGAGGCATTCCATTAGTGACGAGGGTTCAATCAGCCTTTGTTAATAACAACCCAATCGTGAGGTATTTAACTTGTGACGAGGATCCAATCTAACTCTGTTAAATAACAACCAAATCCTGAGATATTTCACTACTGACGAGGACCCAATCTGACTGTGTTACTAACAATCTAATTCTGAGGAATTTCGCTAGTGAGGAGGATCCAGTCTGACTCTGTTTGTAACAACCTAATCGTGAGGTATTTCATTTGTGATGATGATCGAATCTAACTCTGTTAATAACAACCTATTCCTGAGGCATTCCATTAGTGACGAGGGTCAAATCAGCCTCTGTTAATAACAATCTAATCGTGAGGTATTTGTCATATTGGATCCTCCTCACTAGTGAAATTCCTAAGAATTAGATTGTTAGTAACACAGTCAGATTGGATCCTCGTCAGTAGTGAAATACCTCAGGATTTGGTTGTTATTTAACAGAGTCAGATTGGATCCTCGTCACAAGTTGCTGTTAGTAACAACGTATTTCTGAGGTATTTCAGTAGTGACGAGGATTCAATCTGACGCTGTTAATAACAACCTAATCCTGAGGCATTCCACTAGTGAGGAGGATCCAATATGACGCTGTTAGTAACAACGTATTTCTGAGGTATTTCAGTAGTGACGAGGATTCAATCTGACGCTGTTAATAACAACCTAATCCTGAGGCATTCCACTATTGATGAAGATCCAGTCTGACTCTGTTAATAACAACCTAATAGTGAGGTATTTCACTTGTGACGAGGATCCAATCTTACTCTGTTAATAACAACCTAATCGTGAGGTATTTCACTTGTGATGAGGATCGAATCTAACTCTGTTAATAACAACCTATTCCTGAGGCATTCCATTAGTGACGATGGTCCAATCAACCTTTGTTAATAACAACCCAATCGTGAGGTATTTAACTTGTGACGAGGATCCAATCTGACTGTGTTACTAACAATCTGATTCTGAGGAATTTCACTACTGAGGAGGATCCAGTCTGACTCTGTTAGTAACAACCTATTTCTGAGGTATTTCACAAGTGACGAGGATTCAATCTGACTCTGTTAATAACAACCTAATCCTGAGGCATTCCACTAGTGACGAGGATTCAGTCTGACTCTGTTCATAACAACCTAATCCTTATACATTCCACTAGTGACAAGGATTCAATCCAACTCTGTTAATAACAACCTAATCCAGAGGTATTTCACTAGATACGATGATTATATCTGATTCTGTTAATAACAACCTAATCATGAGGTATTTCACTTGTGACGAGAATCCAATCTGACCCTGTTAATAACAACTTAATCCAGAGGTATTTAACTAGAGACGAGAATCCAATCTTAATGTGTTAATAACAACTAAATCTAGAGATATTTCACTAGAGACGAGGATCGAATTTGGCTGTGTTAATAACAACGTAATCCTGAACCATTCCATTAGTGACGAGGGTCCAATCCGACTCTGTTAATAACAACCTAATCGTGAGGTATTTCACTTGTAACAAGGATTCAATATGACTCTGTTAAAAACAACTTAATCCTGACGCATTCCAGTAGTGACGAGGATTCAATCTGAATCTGTTAATAACAACCTAATCCTGAGGTATTTCACTAGTGACGAGGATTGAATCTGATTCTGTTAATAACAACCTAATCCAGAGGTATTTCACTAGAGACGAGTATTCAATCTGAAACTGTTAATAACAACCTAATGCTAAGGTACTTCACTAGAGACGAGGATCCAGTCAGCCTCTGTTAATAACAACCTAATCGTGAGGTATTTAACTCGTGACGAGGATTCAATCTGACTCTATCAAATAAGAACCTAATCCTGAGGTATTTCACTAGTGACGAGGATCCAATCTGACTATGTTACTAACAATCTAATTCTGAGGCATTCCAGTAGTGACGAGGATTCAGTCTGAATCCGCTAATAACAACGTAATCCTGAGGTATTTCACTAGTGACGAGGATCGAAACTGACTCTGTTAACAACAAGCTGATCCTAAGGCATTCCATTAGTGACGAGGATCCAATCTGACTCTGTTAATAACAACCTAATCGTGAGGTATTTCACTTGTGATAAGGATCGAATCTAACTCTGTTAATAACAACCTATTCCTGAGGCATTCCATTAGTGACAAGGGTCCAATCAGACTCTGTTAATAAAAACCTAATCCTGAGGCATTCCACTAGTGACGAGGATCGAATCTAACTCTGTTAATAACAACTTATTCCTGAGGCATTCCATTAG